TTAAAAAAGTGACAGTTGTCAATAGTCAATAACAATTTCTCAAAAATTCTACTCAAGGCCAAATTAGCTTTTAACCACAGATCAGAAAATCTCATGAGCCATGCACAAGGGCTAACCCATTTGGGCTTTCAACCCAGGCTTTTTAAGGGATCCTTTCTGCCACCAAGTTACTTGGAAAGGGAAACCAGTGTGTTTTCTTTGTAACTATCAGTTCCTGTGTATTAAACTTTTCCACTTAGTGACTTCAGCTGAAGGCTGTAAGCCACAGAACATAATGCAGGGGAAAGGAGTCAATCTCAGATACTCAATCTATCTGAATGTTGCAGTGCGAGTCAAAACATAATGTAGTCTCAAAGCTGGACTCCTGACATCTAGCCCAGAAGAGGAGTTGAAATGCTGTATGTAGTGCTTTGCCTGAATTTTAAAAGTAGGTTCATGACTCAAGTCTGATTGATTGAAAAATACTGTTACTGACCACACAGAATTGATCTGGAGAAATGGGGGAAGAAGCTATGAACCTTCTATCCACAAGGATTCTCTTTTGTGAAGATCTAATCTTTGCATGCATGAAAACATTTAAGTGGGAAGTCCATTTACACATTCATAAGCACATACACCTGAAGTAAAAAACAAACAAACCCAAAAGTGTTTTTCACTGCTTTTTCAGTAATCTTAGCACTTGAATTTCACAGAATAGCCCATGTTGGAAGGGGACTCAAAAGATCACTTGGTCCAACCTATCATGGGAATGGAAGCCTAGATGAGATTATCTAGCAGCCTGTCCAATCACATTTTGAGAACTTCCAGTGATTTGCCCTGCTTTACACATGCACAGCTTTTTCAGTAATATTTAAAGGGAAGACTAGTAAGAGACTTAACCTTTCTGCTTTTATGGCAAAGGTTTTAAGAATCCAATAAGCAGATGGGAGTCCTACAACAGCCATCTCAGGTATACTCACAGCAAGAAGGGAAAGAGACAGGTCAAACATAAGAGAGGGATAACTGGGCAGAACCACTCTGGAAATCCCAAGTAAGACACAACTCCCACCTTGCTCTGCTAGCACCTATGCCTCAGGAACTCCTAGGGACCTATCACTTGACATAACTACAGTATTGTATCTGCTTTATTGCAGATATTCTATGTATGCTTTAGCTGGACTGCCAATACATAGGAAGAAAATGCAACTGCATTTATATTATTCACCTGTGCTTTGCTCATAACACATTTAGCTACTGATTTGATAATTTTTATTTTTTTTTAGTATGCCTTTAGTGCATTCTTCTGCTGTTAGGTTTGATACTGGCACATAACTGGATTCCTTAAACTATATTCAAAATCCGTATTTGCTGAAAAACTAGCATTTCACATACTCATGTAATGATCCATGTACTTAAAGTGACAGTTTCCATTTTTTTTCAGAAGAAAACCTAATCTGAAGTGTAGTTTGAGCTACTGAGTGATATAAGGCTAGAGGATATAAAGACTTAAGATAAAGTAGCTGTATTTTGTTGTGTCAAGCTACTGCTTACATCTAGTAATCACTCCAGAGCTAATTTTTAAGGGCACTGCACTCACAAGTGGATTTGAAGGTTATTTGAAGACCGTTTGTCCACCTCAGTAGCCAAAAAAAAATGAAACTCTGGGAAAAAGATTCAAAAAGAATGCTCAGTATCCATACACACTTCCTGAAGAGGGCAATTTTTCTTGGGGGATGGGGGCACATAACAGGGAAGAAAAATGTTTCTGGAAAGTTACTGTAAAAAGATACAAACACCACAGCCTTAATGCTACCACAAAGCCCAGTTGAAATGCAGTTAAGTGTGACAACAAGAATGTATTTGTCCCCTATCAGCAGTTTCCATCACCCAAATATTTCACTTGATACACAGGAACCCATTCCCTCAGCACGAACATGCACAGTGTCTCTGTTCTCCACATATTTTCATCAAACCTGTATGAATATAGCAATACTGATATCTCTATCATGATCTCAAATTGAGTTGACGTTTATTAACACTTTCAACAGTTTTTAAACAGAAAAAGCGTATTCACAGGACCCTCTTGTAAGGGATGCAATAGAGAACACAAGGCTATTATCTGCTTTATCCCTTTCAAGACACTCAGGAAGGTAAAAATGTTACAGTTACTGGGACATCGCATACCTTTATGAAAATGAACCAGGGTAGCTACAATAGTTATACCCAGCTATCACACCATGTCACATGAACCACAGTTTTTGTTGCTTCTTTTTAATCTCTCTGATTGCTGGAATATGTAGAGAAGTTTGACCAAGTTCAGATGCATTAGCTCACCAGTAACTTGGTTAGGTATCCCAGATTCAGCCTAACCACACATTCTGTTACACCAACAGTTCAACCCACTCCAACATACATTGCAATATCGGCACAACCCAAGCCAATACAGGGATAGGTGCATTTTACAAGGCCATGTGGATGAAAACAATCTGATGATAGGAAGGGCATAAATAACAACAGTGCAACTTTGTAGTCATTTGGATCCAGTCCAAAGCCTGCAAACCCTAACAGAAAACAAGACCCATATGTAACACAGAAGAGGAAAAAGTGCTGGCAACACTTACCCTTATGGTCTGGCTACAAGTACTCAAGAAATATATCTACTAGCCTATCTTAACTTTCATCACATTGGTTCACTGTTACCTAATTTGAGATATTTAGACTACTTTTCCTCAGAACAGTGGTTTTTAGGTTATCATTGTGAAGAGACAAGATGTCACTTGGCCAAATCAACAAAAAAAACCCCCTTCATTTTTCAGAAAATAGTGCCAAACTCACTGCCACAGTTAGATATGAGTAATCCTATTATAAAAGGAAAGTTCCTACATGCAGTATAACTGGAGGCAGGCTGTCTCTGGTCTGAGACCCTTGTTGCCCCATGCCATCCTCTTTGTACCCCTGAGGCCCACAAAGTGACGCACTAACAATTGCCGCCAACAGCAGGGGATTTCTGTCTTCAGCCTAAAAGCCAACAGGAAGCTCCTATACCTCAGCATGGCGTAGGAAACTACTTTTGGATAAAGGGGGTGCTTAGGAAGACAAAAGCATCAAGGAGAAGACGACAAAGTTCCACTTTGCCTATTACTAAGTCACATACTTACCTGGTCAAACTCATGTCAGGTCAAGCCAGACACCTGCTCTCCTTGTTGAGGACAAATTCCTTTAAAGTTTAGCTTCTGTCTGAGGCATGCTGTATTTTCTTTGCCATCCTTGCCCTTGCTCATCAGTGTTACAATTGTTTGTTGCTAGCTCCTTCTGCGCATCATAACTGAAATGGGGCAATAAAGTTTTCCAGAGCTGTGGCCACGCAACAGGTTTCTATACTCAAGGGAATGAAGTATCCTATACCAGTTAAAAATAAAAAGGCAAGGTTCATTCAAACAAGCAAGCTCCATAAAACCTTCTTAATGCTAAAGCTTCAAGAAGAAATAAATAAGAGCATCAGATACTAGGCTAGATTAGTGACAAAATAATCAAAGAAAAGGCTATATACACAAAAAGTATCAAAACAATAATGGACATTCTAGACTGCTTGAAAGAAACTTAAAAGAACTAACACTACAGTAATCCTACAGGCCTTTACTACTGAGCTGAACAAAGTAAGCTTCAGCAACCACCTGAATTCCACAGCACTCTCTCAGCCCTATAATCCTTAAGGGCACCTTACCCAGACACAGATTTTATCACTTTCCCTGCCTGCCTTGGCAAATCCAGAACAGTTGAGATGGTAGGCTTGGTTTCTACTTAAAGCCCTTCTCACCTCTTCATCTCCTAAGATGCAGTTAGCAGGAATTTGGTTTACCTTAGTGGGGCTCTGATTGGTTTCTTCACAGTGACAGTACTACTCTGTGCCCAAAAAGGTAACTGACAACAGTATCTGAAATAATGAAATATTAGAAATTTTTATTAAGATTTAGAACAGCTAATAAAGTAGTTTAGTAAATAACTTTAATTATGATGCAATAAATCACAAAACAAATTTTAATTAAAATATTACATTTATCTTGTTAAAAATCTTTAAATGCTGTATTTAGATGATACATACTCTTCTATTTTACTGACTTTTTCATGCATTACATCTTAGTTTATATAGTACACTGTCTGTATTCAAGCACTGTTTTTATATCAGAGCTGGAGAAATTCATGTCAGCAATGATTTACTATTGGTACGTATTAATAGAACAGCTCAGTTAAAAGTGACCCACAACATAACACTTAAAAGACGTGGCTATGTTGCAACTCCTTTGTGGAAATGTTCTGGAACTTTAAAAAAAAATCTTTGTTTAAAATGTGAATATTCCCTCTTTTTGAAGTAAGCATATGATACAAGACCATGCTCTCACTTCAACACTACAAGGTAACAATTCTTTTTTCTTCCAGTAAATATTATAGACTCAATTTTCAATAAGCTGGTGTATCTTATTCATGCTAGACATCTGTGACTTCATGATGGATCTGCGTGGAGCTTGCCTAACTCATCAAGTGGAACCCATAAAATAAGGGGAACAGGAGGTAAACTTGTATCTCTTATTTTATATATGTCAGGAGTAACCTACAGATTCTCAGGGTGTTAAGCTCTCCCTGTCTATGACCCTCTCCCCCCCGCCCCACCCCCGGTATAAACGCCTTGCCCTGCAACGGACCCGTGACGGCGGCTGCCCACCGCAAGGCCCCCGCTCTGGGAGCCGGGGCAGAGGAGGCACAGCAGCTAAGGAAGGGGCGCAGGGACGAGGGCACCCCTAAGGCCTCGACCGGCAACTCGAAGGGGTAACCGCACGCCTGTCACCGTCCGCCCTCTCGCAGCCTGTGAGGAGAAGTCGCCCCACGGCCTCGGCCCGCCCGGGCCGGGAACCCGCTCGCCTCACGACGAACCCGCCGGGCGGCAGCGGCTGCCCCGCCCCCGGGCGCGAGCGCCGCCTTCCCGCCAACCGCGGAGCACGGCGGGGGGGGGGGGTGGCGGCGGCGCGTCGCGGTCACCTCAGGGGCTGGCGGTACCGCCATGGCGGCGGTGCGGGACGTAGAGATCGACCCCGAGGGCACGTTCAAGTACATCTTGGTGCGCCTGCAGCGCCCGGGCGGCGAGGAGCGGCGGGACATCGTCCGCGGCACCAAGGCGGCCGAGTTCCACAGTGGGTGACGGGCCGGGGCGAGGGCTGGGGAAGCGACCGTTAGCGGGCCCACCCCCTCCCCCCCTTCCCGGCAGCGTCCCTGAGGTGTGGGCCGTGACCGCCAGTTCCCAAGCGAATCTGAGGCGGAGGGGGGAGTCCCTGGTGTCAGTGGGCGTAGCTCAGAAACCCCCTGCCGCCACCTTCCCTCTACCCCCCCTTAATAGGTGCCTCATGCGAATATGAAAAGTGGGTCAATATTTCTGTCAGATGTCATTTCCAAACCCGATAAACCTCATTAGGAGAATGTGATGTGTTAACTTAAGTAAAAAAACTGAAATAGACAACCTTAATTAGAGCTGCGTAGTTTCTATGTCTGTCAAGAGAGACCTCCCTCCTTTGCAGATGAAAGAAGGGAACTGGAGGAAAATGAGCGGAAAGTAGCCAAAAAGAAGAGTTCTAGAGTATTTGGTGCCTAGTGCGTATTCTAATGGCTCTAACCGTTCTCCTTGTGCAGATCATATATTTGAAAAAGTAAATCCTGAGATGGAAAAGCTGGGATATGAGTGCAAGTGCCTTGGAGGAGGGAAAATTGATCATAATAGCAAAGACAAGAAAATTAGGGTATTCGGGCTTTCTACAGTAAGTGCATCTCTTGTATTTCTTCAGATCCTTTTGTCACTGATGTTCTGGGATTTTTATAGTATGGTGGCTTATGGCAATTTGAATCACAGTGTAAACATTCACTGGAAAACTTGCCGGGCTCATTTGTGAGATAGATTAGAAAAACACTAGTTTTAAGGGCAGGACACCAAAGCAAAAATAATAGATAACTTAATGCTGAGTAATACCAACATTAAGTTACAATCCTGACTGAAAATGGAAGTTAGCATCTCTTGACTCAGAATCTTTTAATCTTACTGCTAGAGCAGGGATAGCCCATTTGTAGCCACAGGGTCTCGATCCAGCTATTGTGTGATCTTTATTTGCCAATAAAAATGTTGGTTGGCAGTGACCAGCTAAATTGTGAATGTTGTTCAGTGTATGTGTTGGGTGAGAAGAGTAGACCCAGTTTAGGTGTGGTGAATTTTTAGTAGGCGAATATGTAGTTTCACATAAATGCATTTTGTGGGAAGAAAAGTAACTTCCAAGAATATGGAAACTAGAGAATTTTTGTTACCTGTCACTGTTCTGTGTAGGTTCAGATTCTTTATGAAAGACTCAATAAGTGGTAATGATTTCTTGAATTTAGGGAACATGCTATAGTGTGTTTCTGGTGTTGCTCTGTGAGGAAGCGTAGCTACTTCTGTAGTATTACTGTGAGTAAAGATACTAGGCTTCTAACGTAGACAAGAAGAAAATAGTTCTATTAATTTAATTTAATTTTTTATAGAAAGTGATCGTTACTTCAAATCTGCTTACCTTAGATAGGCAGTGAAGGTTGGGCCTTGAATGTGTTAAGAGTTTTTAAATGTTAGTGCTACTTTTGTTCCAAGATGACTCTTGCCACCTGGAATCATAAGAAAAAAACAAGAACTCTTTAGGATTTGTATGGGGTGGAAAGGCAGTGTATAATGCTTATTCTACTAAATTCTTGTGATTGTAGGTCCTCATAGCTGCATTTTTAGATGAGGCTTGACACCTGTATATAAATTCAGCTGCCAATTTAGTGTTAGAGGCAGTGGTCAACTCTTGCTTTGTAATACAATGTCTATGGAAAATACCTTATTTCTCTGCTTTTGGTCCCTTGACGCTTACAGATGAGCCCCATGTAAAAGCAGAGTTTTATTACCATGAGGGCTCCTCTCAGATAGAGAGGTTCAGAAGACCTCAGTAGCAGTTCAGAAGTTAGTATATTAATTACATGGGTTTAATGCTTCTCTTTACCTGGAGATTTGTTGTCAGACTCTAAACCAGAACTATCTTGGTGTTTTATGAAAACCAGAGAAATAGCAATTGGCTTTTTTTGAAGTAGATGCTGTGCTATTAATTGCAAAGCTGGATGGGGTCTTCAAAGTGACTACCAAGGCAAGAGTGATCTGTAGGTGTGTTGCTTTACAACTGACAGTATAAACGTGCAGTATTTCTGATATAACTATATTCTCTGGTATTTTTTTAAAGTTTGCATTTTATAATGCATCAATAATTTTAACCTGTGCAGTTTAAATGCTGGTTTACTTAAGCTGTTACTTTTGGGGCAGAGTCAGTGATGAATAAAGGTACATGTTTTGTTTGATAATGCAATCTTGAGCTCTTTTTTCAGTCTTCCAAGTTTCATGTGAAATATTACTGGAAAAAAGTAACCTGTAAATCACAGGTTTTTATCAAACTGTTGTGCAGTAAAGGCTTTTTGACAGGGAAAAACTTACTTGTAGCTCTGAAATAAATCAAGATAATAACTCCAGTCATATAAGACAATAATGGAAAGGCACCTTCTACGACAACTGTCTTAAATTTCTAACACTGTGATCAGTGATTTAAATGAGGGTTAAAAATCACATGGGTTATCTGACCTTGCCTTAGTTTGGAGTTGGAGTGGCTGAAGAGGACAGATATTTAAAATTATGCCATTACCAACTAAGGCAAGATTGCAAATAAATAAAACATGAAGACTTGTGATTTCTTTAGTGTATAGAATAGTACTCAAATATTCACACATGTGGTGACTTACTCCCTTGTCTTCCACCGAGCCAAATCAGGTGTTTTTATGCTCATATGTTAAAGTGGGTCAGTGCAATTGCTGTGGCTTAAAAGAACATTCAATAAATATGGTGGCTGAACATTTTAAAACAAGCTTCCTGCTGGAGAAATCATGTGAAAAATGCACCCTCTATTACTTGAGATTGCTTAACCCCATCTCATTTTTCTACAACTTGGGTTGGGGAAATTGGAGAGGACAATAGAAAAATAAAATATGACACTGCAAGAATAACTCTTTTAGAACCTGTATTTGATTTGTATGTAAATTATCAAATTGTAAGTAGGTAATTTGTGTTGTCAAGAACTGAATGGTTCTGTGGACTTCCTTTCTGTACATATTTCTCTAATAAGCACTTGTTCTTTCTTGCAGGGCTATGGAAAAGCAGATCATTCGGTGACTGTAGAGTTACTGAAAAAAGTGTATACAGATTATGAAATTACATGGTCAGATGACAAGAAATAAATGGCTACCTATGAACACAACAAGTATTTCAAAACTGGTAACTCTGTGAGCTGTACTCTGATAAATAAAATTGCATGTCTTCTATGGATGTTACCATAAATCTGGAGTAACTGGACTCTGCTGTAATTTATAATATGGGTAATAATCCCCAGATTTATCTTTTTTTTTTTTTTTGTGCAGAATCTGCAGTTCTAAGCCTTTTTCCTCTCCTTTTGATGTGCCATCTAATTAAACACTCCCACATGATCTTACCTCCGGTTTGTTTTCATCCAGTCCTGACTCACTGATATATTGTAGGCTACATCAGGATTTTGCCATCAACTTAAACACCACAGGACCAAACCTGTTCCCTGGTCTTTTGACAGCAGTGTTTTCTGTTTTCTTTATTTTCTATTGCTCTTTAGGCTTTACAACTTTCTTATCCACATTTACAAGAATCAGGGGGGAGGGGAGGATTGACTGTTACAGTTCTTCACCAATGATTTAAGTCTTCAATTTACTCCATGGTTTTGAAAATTCAGTATTTGTGTTCCACACAAGTAATGATCAAGATCTTTTGTGTCCCTGTAAGATCCTTCCCTATAGCAGATTAATGGCAATGTCAAATTCTGACAATACTTGTTTCAGTCTGATTCCCCTGTACTACTTTTATTCCCCATGAGTATAGTGGTGCTTTTTCCTTTTTCTTTAGCAATAATTATCTTATGGGTAGCTACCTCCCAGCCAGACCCAGGACACCTAGGCAGTGTCTGAATTAACTTACAGCACCTGCTTCCTCCTGTTGTGGCAGGATGCTGCCCTTCATTTGTTGTGAAGTTACTTGCTACAATTTTCACTCTTTTGTCTCCTGCCAGTTGTGGATTTCAAGGCAGTACCTTTTGTTCTTATGCTTACATTGTTGACCTGCGGTATTGAAGAGCTATTTGTATACAAATCCTGGTTCTTCCCTGTGCTGTGGCTCCTACTGCACTTATCTACCAGTATCTGGTGGTATATGGTGGCTTTTTCTTTTCAGTGTGCGTGTGACTCTTAAAGTAGAAACAGTATGAAATTTGAGACGCTTTAGTCCAGTTTCTGTCACAAAAAATCCTGCTGTTAGTGTAATAAGGCAGTAACTGTCCATCTTATGTCACCCTTCTGTATTTTTGTTTTGATTGGCTGGGTGGAGAAGGATTTCCTCTTCTCATCCTCAGATCTTTCAGTCCATTCCTTATTAGAAGAGTTCCAGGTATCTCCATCCCAGTAATACCTGGGAGCAGGATTTCTTGAACCTGGTGCTGCCAGTCTCTTGGTTGGCATCTGCTTCCCTCTATGTGCAGCCTGCACTTTCCCCTCCAGCGCCTCTATGAGCTTTTGCATCTGCTGTTTGTGCTTCTCTGTATGCTCTTGTACAATAGTTATCTGGCTGCACTACTCCAAATGCCATGATAACATTGATTGCAGGTTTGAATTTTTTTTTTTTAACAAGATTTTGATTTCAGAATGTGATTAAGTGCCTGCATACCTAGTAACCAAGAATAGCATACAGGTCAATAATTTGCAAATTGGGTGCTTCCCACTTTGATTTTCCTCATGGGTTTTTTCCCCTAAGCTTTAGTAAGATAACTGTAACGGATGTCATTTAATTGGTGCCAGTATACAAAACTGATTTTTTTTTTTTTTTTTAATCACCTCATTTCCCAAAACTAGCTAATAGCCTTCAGAGGGAAGTCAACAGTTAAGGATAGCTCCTGCTAAAACAAACAAGCTTTCTCATTTAATTTCCTGAGATGTTTTACAACTGATTTTAATGTTTCCCTCCACAGTACTTACGGGAAAGACATAATTTAGACCGGATTTCTTATTGTGATGACTGTTTCAGAAAGCAAGGGGATGGGGTGAGGGGAGAAAAGGGGTAATGATTTGGAATGAGCTGATAGATTTACCACCTGACTTCTATCTTTGTTTCTTCAGACAAGAAATTGGGTCTGATGGTAAGCATTTATTGTGTCTTCAGAAAAATACTTTGAGGGTCCTCCCAATTATGTTATTTTCTAGTGCAGTGTCATTTTGGAAAATGCTAATTTCCCTAGCTATTAAGTAATATGTACAAGTATTACAAGTGAATGAAAGATGTTTAATTCCAGAACATGAAGAGAAACAGGAAACTAGTCACTAGGGTGGTGATGATTTGGCAAGTAGAGAAAGCCTTAATGTAGATTAGGGAAACTAGTGATATTTCATGTTGAAACACCAACAGAACAGCCAGCCTACAAAACTTAAGTGTTGAATTCTGCTTCCTCTCAGCAGGTATGTGCTGAATTCTAAGAACAGAATATAACTCATCTGGAATTATGGAAGTCCCAATGCTAGTTTTGCCCATTTCACCCAAGAAAAACATCCTTTATTAATTCTCATCTGTAATTCTGAAATGGGATCTTAATTATAACGTGTGGGGTTTCCTGTTTTGCAGGTGTGCAGTTACTGTGAGATTGTGGCTCTAGCAGTCTTCACTTGAAAGTCCTAAAAACCCCGATTCTGTATCTGCATGAAAACAGAGCTATCTTTGAGCAATCCAAGAATAAAATGAGTATGGTAAGCAAAGGAGTAGTATATTAACCGAAGACAGCAAGTTTGATTGTGGAATACTTTCAAGAGGAAGCATTATGGTAGAAGATTGTAAGTGCCGCCTTTATTTGCCAAAAAGTACATGAGATTGAATATGGTTAAGAACAACATTGTCACAGTGGTCAACACTTCTTATTACTTCAGGTACCGTTCTCCAAAATGGCACTAGACCTAGTAGGTGTAGAACAAGCTATTTGGTCACTGCGTGCAAGCCATGATTTCTCTTATGACTGAGGTTCGAAATATGGCAAGCGGTAGTCACTTTGTTTCCAACTTCCCAGTTTTGACAAAAAAGAACTGTTAACAGTACTTTGTTGATCTGCTGAAGCTAAAACTTCCTTTTGTTCTTCAATCTGTAGTTAGCAGTTGTCTATCATCAGTAAGTTTCAGAGCTGATGCAGAAAAAATCTGAAGTGCAATCACAGCCTTGGCACAACTGACTGCTTTTCCCTCTCTCTCTCTCCCCCCCCTATACAAAAGCAACTTCAGTAGTTTCCAAATCATCCCTTTAAAATAGTCTACTTAGAATTGTTTTTGAAACAACAGTAGTTGTTAAAGCTCTTCTGTAAAGTACGGGAAATCCTCTATGACTCTCTCTTAATAGCAACATGGTCAAAACGAGAATCTTGTAGTTGACTTTCATAGCCTTCAATGACAGGATCTTAACACAATAATTAAAGTTATTTAGGTCACTGCTGTAGTTTCTTTCCATCCCCTCAGACTATTGTCCTTTTCTCTTCTACATTGTGTATCCTTGCATCTAGTTTACTGCAGTGGTTGACTGTCTCTAAGTTTTTATTTCTGCAAGGGCACCCAGTGAATTACTGCTGCAGTAAAGCAGTGCATGATGACAAGTAGTAGCTTTGATGTACTTGTTAAGAGTTGTGTAAGAGCTTTTTGTCCAGTTTTGGTTAAGACAGAACATGCAGTGGCTTTTTTCTGTCACTTGGTAATATCAAGCACTCAGGACCAGGTTTTGTAGTTCTTTGGGTTTGTATGCATTTTTGGTAAGGTAATTTCTTAAGCAACATCACTATCTTCAGCCTAGGACACAGGAGTGACTTGTACACAGGCTTTTCTGAATGTCTGCTGCCCCGCCAAACTGCTGAAAGGACTGAAGAGGTCTGAGTGTTCAGTAGTACCCCCAGCAAGTTTTGAAAGTGGGTCATAGCATATAAGCAGTTTAATTTCTGGACAAATCTCTTTAAAAAAAAAAAAAACAAAACCAAAACAAACCCCAGCCCAGTACAGCACTCTAGTAATCTGCTATAATAGCGCAGTTCATCTTCTTTCCCACTTGTCACCACCTAAAGCTCAGTTCTGTCATCCTCCAGTTTCCTGGATTGCATTTGTAGGTTTATTGGTTGGTTGTTTTAAGGATTCTTCTTTCAACTCAGCTTCTAAAGCAGAAATCAGTTTTATCAATTTCTAAAAACAGTATGGGTATTTCCAGTTACTTGCTGAAATTTTCTTAGGAGTGATATGTCAAAATCTGAATGTGAAAATTTACAGACCACACTAGTAAATATTCTCTGGTACACTACTTCCAAGGCTTGAATAAAAGTCAAGTGTGTATTACATACAGAAACGTTACAAAGATTTGTAAGATTGTTAGCAGAATTGAACACCAGTGATAAATAAAATTGCATCCCCCTCTGGTGGCAAAGCAGCGGAGCACACAGGTACGCAGTCGATTCTGAAATCTGTTGCCGCAGTTAAACCGTCTTCAAGTTGGGAGCCTAACCCGTGAGAACCACTTGTTGTGCTATGTTAGGATGCTAAATGATCTTGTTCAGGCTGCGCTCAGCAGCCACTACAGTTCTGGCACTGCCAGAGAATGTGAGAGGGGGACTGGGGACAGTGACTTGCTTAATTTTTAGTTACATATAAATGACAATTAATAGACATAAACAGATGTTGGTTTAAGCAGAACTCTATATTTCTATGCAAAACCAGAATCAGAAGAGTCCTTCACTTCTAGTCAGGCATCAGAATTTGTCAAACACTTCAGTAATGAGCATCTAGAATAAATCAACAGAGGAAAAAAGCAAAGAGATATAAGGACTAAAACATTGTGTCTTTAAGATATTTTTTGAAGGACCAGTGGTTAAATTTAACTGGAATCTTTAAAGGCCATTTCCATAATACATCGCTGCAGTCCTTTATCAATTGTTTTAACTATGCTGGTCCTAAACACATTTCTCTCTTCAATGAATTTCTCAAAGAGGTAGATACCACCACCAACCCCAAAATAATGTGCTTTGCTTGCCAAATACACACGGCCATTTTTATCCAAGAGCTGAGCCAGGGTATTGTGCAAAGCAGTGTAGTAGTCAGGATTATAGATGGTCTCAGAGGTGAGAATTATATCATACTTTGAAAAGGGTTTGTTGCTGCTTAACAGGAGCCGGCTGACTTCAGACCACTCCCCAGAGAAAAAACTGCATTTGGTGAGCACATCAGGTAAGCACTCTGCGTTCCTGGGCCTCTTTGAAGGAGGCTTGCTAGTTGTTCTGTTGTCTCCACTGCCCATCCTGCTGCCTTTGTTTGTACAGTTAGCCACTGCGTTAGGCAAGGTTATTTCATCAATCACTGTGCTGTTGTAGTCCTGAAAATGGACTTTTTCAGCTTTACCCCTTAAAGCAACTATTCCCAGCAGTCCAGCCCCGCAGCCAAGATCCAATACAGTCTTGTTGGTAAACTGTATTTTGGCCTCAGAAAAGTAGTCTATGAGATCAAAGGTGCATTCCCAGATTTTCAGTCCTCCCTCATAGACTCCTGGGATGAGGTCAGAGTGAGAAGAAACGCTTTTGGACACGATGCCTTCTCTGTCGGCTCCATCCAAACACATCATTTCCACTACAGACATCTTGATGTAATACAGGCCTGATACTGTTTCCATCACTTTATTTTCCAATACTTTGTCGAGATCTTTGGGTATGCTGTGCTCTTTGGCAGCTTTAAAGCAGAACTTTGTCTTTGACAGCATTTCCTCTTGGTGCTTCTCAGTTCCCAGCCTCAGGCTGGGGTCTGCTGCTGTATCAGGGGTTTGCTTGCTCTTTTCTATGGAGTCCTGCTTGCATTTTGGAAAGCACATCTTGTCATGAGCCTCTGGTTCATTGCTTTCATTTTCATCAATACAAAAATTAAATCGAAAAGCCATTTTCAGGAATAACAGTAAAAAAAAAAGTCAGCTTGATTTATTACAGCCAGTAACACTCATCTAAGAGTGATGCTGATACAAAGATTTATTTTTTCTTCTTTTTTTTTTTTTTTTAGAGGATGTTTTTATGTAGCTATCGCTACGGGGAAGAGTGCGTTACAGGTAGGATGTCAGATGTTTTGCCAATTAACCGGAAGAATTGCTTCTGGAAATAGAGTAAATAGTTTTACATATCATTAATTGCTAAACATTAGCACAAACAAACCGTGTAATTGTAGCATCCTAATTTTCATTAAAAAAACTTCCACCCAACCACCTTCTAAACATTTAAATTCACGACAAGACAGTGTTAACAAGTGACCACATCTCTCACGTAATGTACGTACGTGCAGGGAAATTAGGGTAGCTACTTATTCCGGTAAACCTCGCCTTTCAAACACGAAAAAACAACGCGCACGGAGGCTTCCCTTCCCCTGCGCCCCAGCTAGAAGCACGCAGGCCGGGCAAGGGGATCCAGTCCCGGTTTACCCTCCCCGGTGCCCCTACCAACCCCCGGTTACCGGTCGCGCTCGCCCTCCGCTTCTCCCACGTGGAGCGCCTGCCCCTTCCGCTTCGCTAAGCGCATGCGCGCCCCGCGGTGAAAAAGCGGCGCGGAGGCTGCTGGGATAGTGGAGGTGACTTTTTCCCGCCGCTGCCCGGCCGTGAGGTGAACAGAGCCGGGGCCATGTCCCAAACAGATCCCGAGCTGCTCCTGCAAGAGCTGGGAGGTTGGGACTGGGACCTCTGCCGCCGGGAACTGCCCGCCGTCCTGCCCCGGCTTCTTATATCCTTCCCGGGAGGGCGGTTCGGCTGCTGGGTGGCTGTGGGGAGGCACCCCGAAATGGCGGGGGGGGGGGGTGTGGGGGTGTTCCTCCTTCAGCTTTGCACTGTTCAAGCAAAAAATCCGTGGGGAGGGGAAGCGGGGCAACCTTTGTAAGGGGCTGACAAAGGACGGAAAAGCTGGGTGCCGGGTATTTCACTGGAAATGAGTACAGCCTTTCGCTGAAATAAAAGATCTGACGGTAGAAAATAGCGTGTGGTTCATTTAGCGCTGTAGATAACGCCCCCCAGACACCACCACCCCCCCCCCCCCCCCCCCCCCCCGCGCCAACCAACCAGACAAAAAAACTCCCAAGACTTACTCTCCCAATACATTGTAGAAATGCTTGTGCTGATTGTGCGGGTACTGAGGTTTATCTGCCTGCATTGGTTATGGAGCATCCCTGCCAATTTCATGTGATGAATGGAGTGTACATGAGAGAGTGAGAGAAGTCACCGTGATTTCTGCAGATGCGTTAAAGATAAACTTTATGGCAGAACGAGCTTGAGTTTCTTTAACATTTTTACTCTATGTATCAAGAGTCTGAAGACTGGACTGAGCATATTCGTAAGTAGTGACCAAGAAGTGCCTCTTCTTCCTATGGATCATTGTATTGCAATTGCATTATAAATTCTGCACTACTTAAAAATACTTATGCTGTAACTAGTGACTTTCACAGTCTTCAGCAATCCTGCTGGACTTTGCACGTTACACAAATTGCATGTTGAATAAGCTTTATAAAAGCCCATAAATAAGCTATGCATGTAAGGCTGCTTTTTCCTTCTCACTACTGATTTTTAGGTACTTGAAAGAAGGGTGCTTTTCATATTGTATCTTATTGTCTTTTTGGCCATTATCTTACAGTTGGCAAAACTCTTGTAATACGTGATAGCGATAAGAAAATAAGGCTGATATGTAACTGTTGAGGTGTCTTGCTAACATTAACTGTTAAGTTGCATATTAGTGTCAATGAGCACATTAAATGTGCAACTATTTGCAGTTTGGAATATGGAAAATTCTAGTTCCATGGGCAAACAATTGTGCTCAACCTTCAGCTAAGTGTAGTCAG